CTACTACTACTACTACTACTACTACTACTATGAAGATGATGGTGATGATGATGTTGATGATGATGATACTGTGCGCATTTGGGGATTGACAGAACACGCGGAAATCGCGCGCACAAAATCGTAGAAAAATGAATTTCAAATACATTCTCTTATAAAAGTGGATAATCTGGGTTACCTGTGATTTTATCGTAAAAAGTTTCGGAACCAGAGACAACATCAATGTAACCACCTCACGTGATCTGTGGGATCCCTTACCCTCCTATACGTAAGAGGCCGAAACATCATTGTTTTTGAAGGAATATAGTCTTGTTGTCTCTCTGTCATGATTGCGTGGCTGAATGACTCACTGACTATCTGGCTAAGTGGCTGAATGGTTTATTGAGTGTTGATTTGATAGAATCATTTTCATGTCAAGTTAATACTTACGTTTGGTTGCAGGTGATTGGGTTAATACAGGGCTAGGCTTGACAGTTGGTGTGATAGTTTCCTCGGCACAATACTGCAACGGGTCAATACCTGCCTTTTGAGGCTTGAGTACAAAAGAACTTTGAACATCAAACTCCTTAGTGTTATTGCTGTAGGCCACTTTCATTTCGTAGAGCGATTCACCGACCTTGCTACCAACAGCTAAATACCATCCGTCGTGAAAAGATGCATACGAGAAAGTTTCTTTAAGGTCTGCGTGACGACGGATATAAAAGGTAGCTTCTTTCACTAAAAGGTAAATTGCAGTTATTTAGTTTCACAATCTTGTCCAATAAGATTACAAATGCAAATTTCTTCTCCTATAACACGAGTGAAAGGTTGTGCAGGACAAGATAACACCTTTTTCAAAAAAGTAGTCGTTAACTAAAGCCAAAGACGGGAAAAAGTGTTATTTGAGAATCTGAAGTTAATAATATGCGTGAACAAAATGATAATATTCAGGTAATCGGGTATGATAATAATGATGACCATTTTCATCAAATATCAATATGAGATGATTAGGCAATTTACCGTAGTTGTCGTCCCTTTGATAAGCCATCAGAATAAAGCGATAGTCTTTCTGTATGATGTATGATCCGGAAGTGCAAACAGACTCAAACGACACTGTATCAGGATCTTTGTTCAATCCTGGTACATGCGCAATAAAGTACTGGCAATGCTGACCAAAAAACATACGCATTCCATTGGCTCGTGCGCAGAAATTGTTGTAATAGATTTGCAAAGTTGGGGTGTTAATAGAGTAGATTACGTAAGCTGCTTGATTCATAACTGTGAATTAAGGAACGCTTGCATTAGTACTAACATACGATACCACTGCACTAAATCCCTTCTGTTTTACCCCCACCCCCTTGTTCTGGGATCAATAAGCGGTGGTAAAATAGATTTCAATCCTCAAGAGAACGATTTTGTTTGCAAACCTTATTAGAAAGTAAGGGGTTATATGAAAATCATACGTCTCGGTCGATCTGCATGCAGTGCATGCATACTTTCTGCCATAACTGGACTTGGTGGACTAGCAATCTTGCATACTACATGAGTATCCAACATAAACTTTTTCATTCTTATCATCACCTCAAACCTAGAAGGTCCGCAAACCGAACCACCCCGTTTTTTCAATTGTGATTTACTATCATTATCGTTTAGGTGCAACCCTCAAGAACTTTGATGATTTATTCCCCGACTAGCATTTAAACGACCGTCAATTAAAGGACCACGATAAACGACTAAATTAAATATTTTATTCAACTTATTCTCTATATTCTTGAATTCAGTTTAAAATTTCCCATTAAAATATTGTGTTTTTTATTGCAGTTCTTTGATTGACAGTCGCTGAAATGCTAGTCGGCAAACGAGAAATCAAATTTTTGGGGTCGCGCTTCAACGATTACGGTAAAATAGCTTTCCTATGAGTAAATAAAATAATAGCTTATATTTTGAGTTTCAGGAAAGCTTACTAATAGTTTTCTTACTTTTTATCGCCGCACCAGACTGACTCACAGCAGCATTTGCAGCCGCATTAGCAGCAGCAGATACTGAGGAAGAGAACTTAGCTTCTGCTCCTCCTCCGGCACTGGCACCAGAAACAGATCCAATACCCATACTTGCACCAGCCCCTATTACTTCTCCGGCTGAGCTACCACCTCCTCCCTGAGAGGTTGATCCTCCACCTCCAGCACCAGCTCCTCCCCCTGCTGCACCTCCTCCTTCAGTCCCGCCTCCTGCTCCTTCCCCTCCAGCTGTCCCTCCTTCGGTTCCTGTTGCCGCAGCTCCACCAGCAGCTCCACCAGCAGCTCCTCCAGCAGCTTCTCCAGTAGCACCACCTGCTGCTCCACCTGCTGCTCCACCTGCTGCTCCACCTGCTGCTCCACCTGCTGCTCCACCTGCTGCTCCACCCGCCCCTTCTTCACCGCCCGCAGCGCCACCACCAGCTGCTGCACCTCCTCCCCCTCCCCCTTCCTCAGAACCTGCCGAGTTGTTGGCATATACATTTAATATATGCCCAGCACTAGCTTGTGCTAATAGTATTTTCTGTATAGCTTCCAAAGCAATCTCATGAGCTATTCTTCTCCCTGCTTCCTCTCCTGCCTTTTTCCCTGCTTCAAGGCCTGCCGTGGCTCCTGCATCAGCCCCGGCTTTGGCACCAGTCTTAGCTCCAGCATTGGCTCCACTACTTGCCCCTGCTTTGGCTCCTGCATAAGCGCCTACGGTTGCTGCATGAAGAACTGACGTATTTGCAGTGACTAGAGCTGATGATAAAAGAATATAGCATTATATACAAGATTAACACATCTAATTCAATGCTGAAAGTCACAAATAGGGAATAGACTACACGTATTCAATGAACATTCAAAACTATATTTGTTACGAGTTCTTAATTATTAATAATAGACCGTTTCCTCAACTTACGGATGCTTGGAAAGACTCCTGGAGGAATAGATTGTCTTTTTTGATTCTCTAAAAAAAGGAAAGATCATTTAATGGTTTTAATTATATGTATCAATGAATATCATTGAAACCTCTTGGACTACAGCGCAAGTTCTTTTCCCTGCAATGAGTATTCAATGATACCTGCTCATGAGTCCAAGAATAGTTATCTTTCGTTTCCAAATTATTTTATACGTTTAATGGAGCCGATTCAGAGTGCAAACAAATAATTGGGAGTAATTCCATAACAACGACAGATTGCAGTCTTAATTAGAAAGTTAAGTATTAGGAACCATGAAGTAGCGTGCTACAATTCTCCTCTCTCCCCTATGGTCTGGAATTAGATTTCTAGGCTGGGCATGACAGAACAGTAGAYTTGTTTGTCTCCGATCCTCATTCATTCGAGGGGTGCATGTACAGAAATATTTCCCAAGACTAAAAACTTCAATTTGATCACAGCCACAGGGAGCCCAATCAAGACAAAAGTGCTAGTCAAAGATAAAAAATATCACGCGCTTGGGAGAGTGAGACGCGTTTGTCGTAACTTTGATGCAACACTCAATTTCCGAATTCTCCAGATCTGTTCTATAGGGTTAGCCTCGAATTGGTATGGAATTAGTTTGAATATTCATGGTTCCAGTGAAGGGCCGTGGAATTTCAAAGTTTTTGTATAAAGTTGTACACTCTTTACTTGGTATTTGGGAATATGAGGCACTGAAATAAGGCTAACCCTGTATTAGTGAGGCTTTGTGACTCGGGCAATTTCAAAACTTCAAACGCAAGTGAAATTCATAATCCTTAATTTTACACGGAACCATACGAATATTACCTATGCAAATTATTGCACTCCACTGTGTTCAATTACCATTATAAATGTCAATAAAACCAGATCACTCTACCTCGTCCGACCAAGTGCAACGATCTTTTTTTTACCAATACTAAGTGGCAACAAGGCTTGGAAAAATAACACCCAAATCACCATCATAATTAACGAGGAGTAACGGCTAAAACTTTTGATAAAAGGAATCTATAATTTTTTAACCGAAAACGTTAAAAGAAATCAAAAATTATAAACCGTCTATATTAGCTCTATCAGTACTACTTTTTGGACAATTTTATTGAAGTATTGTATAATCAAATGGGCCCTAAAACATATTGAATATATAAAAAAGGTCATGTAAACACCACCAATCCCTCCCAATATCAGCCCAAAAATGCCTTCTGTCAAATGTTGAAATAATAGTATATAACTTTATCCATAAAGTGCATATAGTCAGAACCAGTCTTAGCTTTGTTACCGACACATAAGATAGTCCAGCTTCAACGCTTATTTGAACGCTATAAATGAATTTAATAGGTTGAAATTAAAAATAATAAAATAAAATAAGAATAAAATAACTGATAAAAATAAATAAATAAATAAAAAATATAAAAAATAAAAATAAAAATCCATATGACAGTTTTAGAAAATATCAATGTGGGTTTTAGAAATATTGCGGTTGCAAATAAGGCTATTGTATTTACTGGTTGCATTAAGAATACAGTAGAGCTACCTGCATAGAGGTTACCTTATAATATTGGATACTATATTGTTTTAGGAAAGACGTTGTTACACGTTTTAGACAATTTAACCTAAGAGATATATACTAGTACTCATCTAGTTATTAAAAATGCAATAGTATACCTGATGCAACAAGCTCAGGCGATCTCAGATATCGCATACTAAAGATATCGTAATATTCTAATGATGGACATCGTGTGCTTTACTATAGCCAATATAAAGTACCAGTAAGAATAATATTACCATAGTAACTAGGAGACAATGCATCTATTTTATTTCTTTTACCATCGAGTTAGTGAAAATATTGACTCACTAAAGATCTCGAGAAGTCATTTAGCCTATACATACACTTTGAATGAAAAATATTATTCTACAAAAGTTACACAGACGCTAATGTCTGGATATGATTAAAAAAACACTATGTAGAAGTTGAAACTCGGTCGGAAGATGAAAACCTCCACCAGGAAATAAAGCAAATGAAAAAAAAAAAAAAAATACAATAGTTCAGGCTGGTCATACTGGACTTCCAATCAATCGAGTGAAAACCATCCGTTTGAGAATTGTTAGACTTGTTAGGCTTATGCTTGTACTTAGACTTATACATTGAAACTGTTGATTGCCTTTTGAGTATTGTTAAATATTCATGATTTATATAATCTTAACTAACACTTTTACAAATCAGCAGTAAGTGTTCCCATTCAGTAGAATAGCAGTTCTAGGAAGTGTGGTGTGTTCGTTTGAGGGGGTGGGGATATGCTCTTCCTCCCGCTTTTGTCGACCCGAGAACATTATTCAAGCGTATAAATCTTTTCATATTTTCGCACTTGTATCCAAAAACCATAACATTATCTTTCATCGCTAGTGGTCAATGATGATCACTCACTGCAAAACCTTAGATCAGTCCCTGCCTGTAGGT